TCGGAATCACATTTACCAGTACTCATTGGAAAATTAGTTCAATTGGCGCATTTCTGCACAATTCTTTCGCGGGCCGGATAAAATCACATCGCAGGCTGCATGTGGCCCGCGGGCCGTAGTTTGGAGACCCTTGGTCTAGATAATGTGGGACCCTCAACATCTCACAACCCTATGGGCCTTCACGGCCTGGTACAGGGATAGCTTTACTTTTTTTATTACTTTTCTGTTTTGTCCCAACAAATAGAAAACAAGTTGAGAAATGTCTCATACAGATATTACTAATGGCACTGAGGTAACAGTTTTACAACAGTCACTTGTTTTTCTTATGAATTGTTTATGAGAAGCAGGGCAAAATTGGATGTCAAGATATAAAATTCCTTCTCTAGGCATCCATCTTTCAGTTCTTGGTAAAAGTACCTGTTTGTCCACTGTGCATAATCAGGCGTCAAATACACAGCCAACCTTTATTTTTCAGAGGTAACCAAAAACTTTTGGCTGGTGGCTAATTTCCCATTCAGCTTTTCAAATTATTGCAGTCTTCCTCTGCTGCTTGTGGCACCGAGAAAATTGTGTACCTCCAAAGGCATTAACCTCAACATTTACCTTATGTCTAGCCTGAAGGAGGTTTAAGACAAAGAGTGTGCTAACATGAAGAAATTAATCTTGTTCACCATGTGAAGATAACAGCCACAGCAAGGTTCCAGAAAATAAATGATCCACCTCCTCCTGGTGATAACTATATTTGTCTGGCAACTGGATTTTGAAAAATGTTTCAACCCTCAGTGCAAAATGACTAATATTCCCATACATACTTGTGACATCCTGTTCTGAGGGACCTACCAATGTGGCTCTCTTTACCAAGTAAACAAGCATTAAGCTGTAGTGTATGTCTGTGTTAACTCACTAATGCAGTTAAGAAACAAGCTAGAAAGTGACTCATTTAACAGAACTTTGTGAATTATTCACATTTATGATTCACTGCAAAAGAGGCCAACAGACAGGAACAAACAAGCAAAGTTTCTCCCATCTTTAAATGTTTGTTTTCTTTGGATAAATAACAAAATGAAACCACTCCACACAAGCCCTGGCATCATAGCTCAGGTGGTTAGTTCCGAAAGTCACGTCATATGGGATTTGTAGTGGACAAAGAGGCACTGAGGCAGGTTTTCTCTGAGTACTTTCATTTCCCCTACCAATTCTATTTCCACCAACAGCTCCATATTCAGTAATCATCACATCATCAATGTTATATAGTCTCAATACTTATTCATTCTTTTCCTTTATTTTCCATATACCCATATAGGTAACAAACCTAGGATGTGGAAATGATCCCTTTGAAAATAGATATATTACTGTTAATAACAAATAAAAAAAAACTGTGGCATATTATCACAAGAAACTACACAAAACATAACCACAAATCTGTTATTTGTTAGACTAAATTTTTAAGTATCACTAGCTACATCACATTCTTAAACTTCCTCTATCCACTTATTAGCAACTGTTACTTATTGCTGCTACTCTAGGTCTTTAGATTTTGCATTCTGTGGGCATAAAGTGTAAGAACTCACAAGCAGAATCGACATTAACAATGAACCACCATGAAAGCCCGGAATTAGCAATAGTTACTTAACCTACCTACATGCTGTACTTCCATCTGTCATAATAATCATTTGTTCACTTGTCCAAGGAAGGGAAAAGTACACCAACTCTGGAGGTCGAGGAATAATAAGGGTTGCACTTGTGAAGGAAGAAGAGGGCTATTATCACATTACATACATATAACAAAATAAGTGTGAACTAATTGCAAAAACTACACTGGAAATGTGTCTTAACTTATAACTGACCATCTTACATAATAAAATATATTTAGGGATTTATCAGTATGTTACTTAGAAAAAATATAATAGAAAACAGATGCATAAGTCCATGTACTGTTCTCACTACTTCAAAGTTTTATAAATGACTGACTGGTGAGTATTCAACAAGCAGTCAAGGCCAATTTTTATGTAATATTCTCACCGATGCATATCGGGAAAGATGAAAACTATAATCGCACACGGAACTCATATGATGGCCACAAATCCCAAAATGTACAATTTGTTTTACTACGAAAAATGAGGGCTGGGCCATGAGAATGTAAAATAAAATACTAGGACCATGAGTAAATGATAATTTCACTCTGCATTAAATGTGTGAGACGCTATTCTCTTGTTAAATTAAATAAAACTTTCCAATGTAACTTTAAATCCGTAGTAATGAATCACACGGTGTTTAAAAAATTATCATAAACTTAATTCAAAATCTTAAAAATAAAAACGATAATGGTGTTTCCAAACCACACTAATTAAAACAAGAACGTGAGTTCCTTACCTTCATACTTATATCGTTTATGTCCACCTACAAAATGTATACAGTCTATAAGACAAAATTCTGCAATACGCCTAACGCCTCTAATACAAACATGCACAACTGAACCACCTTTCGGCTTTAGCGCGCATCAGACCACCGTTCCGAAAATAATGCATTGCAATGCAATCGAATGAATTATCCACAAGACTATCGACATTCCTATCGATAACAATCGACATGATTACTTTTAGACACTTGAATTCCACTGATGAATAATAAACGAAACTACGTCCGGAACAAATTTCGAACACTTCATGCAATGATGCTACAGACAAATATTGATGAACAGTCGAGTCGCTAAAATTGCTTGTGTCCAATAACGATACACTTAAAAGGTTCAGCATTTAATCCAATAACAAAACATAGATAAAAACATATGACTCACATCAGCATTGGCAGTGTGCAAAACATTACTTCCAACACGACAGTAAACTTTATTTTCATTTTGAAAAATAAATGTTGATACAAAAAAGGCATAGGAAATGCCCATTCGGTGAAAGAAAACTTAAAAGGTTCAGCATTTAATCCAATAACAAAACATAGATAAAAACATATGACTCACATCAGCATTGGCAGTGTGCAAAACATTACTTCCAACACGACAGTAAACTTTATTTTCATTTTGAAAAATAAATGTTGATACAAAAAAGGCATAGGAAATGCCCATTCGGTGAAAGAAAACTTTCTAGACATTTGATTAATACAGCCATCTACATTAGTCTCCTCGAACTTCGTGATAAGCGTCGCTGTCAGGCTACTGCTCCATCTATGTTCATAACCCCACTGTTGCGCTCGCTGCTTTGCATATTCTTGGAGTTTTCGGACCATGCTAGCAACTAGGGCACGACATATCGCCGTAGGAAACTAGGAAACCATGCAGATGGGAATGGGAACCACGTAAAGGTAGCAAACCCAAATGACGCTTCTATGGAACACCAAAACTGATTTAATTCCAACAATGAAGTAATTACATTTTTTTTTTAGAATTACGAAAATTTCAAGCATTATTAAAATGAACTTTCTGAAATCCGGAAATCGAAGAATAGCAACGGCTATATTATAGCTGCCCTTTGCACTGTCGTTGCTACGAGTTTGAACATGCATTTGTTAAATTCCATAAATACTACACAAAAATTCCATTTGGAGATTTCAATTCAAAGCACATAGGGAAAACATTTTCAAGGCAACAATTGGGAGTGACAGTTTACCCCAAATTAATAATGATAATGGTGTTGGGGTAGTGAACTTTGCGACATCCAATAATATGACTTAAAAATTCAATGTAAGATTTGAGGTCCCAGAAGACAGCTTTCTTCTAAAAATACAATGTTCCCAAACCAAGAACTTTCACAAATTTACTTGGACATCTCCTGATATACTCACATTCAAACTGGCCACATTTTAATAGACAGGAGCCAGCATTCAGGCGTACTTGATTTAGTATCAGTTAGTTCCACAGTCACACATACAACACTAATATTCTACAAAACTTATTAAAAGCTATTCACTTTAAAGTTCTACACTACATGTTTCAACCAATGTAGTCATTATCAGATGTTAAAAATTGTGGATGAAGAAACTGCTGTTTTTTGTATTGTTGCTTGGGTTGTTAATCTACATAGTCCCCTCCATGCACACGAGTGTCCAAGGTGATGGGTTGTGTTCCTTCCTGTTCTGTTATGTTGTGTACCTTTTTTGAAAACAAGACACACTTTCCACACAATACTGCACTCTCCTTCTCCCCACAACTTTCAATTTGTCAGCAAACAATGTGCATTGCAGTATATGTTAACTTAATTTTGCCTAAATTAGATTAAAATTCAATTGCACCTTATAAACCCATATAACAGTGGAAATCCAGTACTTATGTACATTACTATATTACCTGAGATGCCAGTGTATATATATATATATATATATATATGCACTATGAAGTGAATTTTGACTGGTTCATGAACATAATATGGTGTGGACACACTCTTCTCATTGTTGTAACACAAACAGAAATGAAACATTGTTTGGAGTAATAAAACAGATTGAGATATCTGATATTACTGACTGTTCTTAATATTGTTTTGATTACAGAGCAATGACCAAGCAGAAGAACAGATTTCAATGTATGTAACTCAGATAAATTAAAAAGAACTTCTGCAATCGGTGAATAAATGCGAGTAACAATGGCTTTCCTACAAGGACATTAAGTAATTACACATCATTTGGAGTTCTTGAGAAAAAATTAAGCTTCCATTGTATTGAAATACTCAGAAAAAATCATAGGCTTGAAGAAGTTTGTGTGCCTCTGCCAAGCAGAAATTTTAAAATAAGAATGGATTGGTAATTCAAAATGATGGTAAGGGTATTAGAAAAGTATTACTTCTACAAATTCCCAGCAGAAATAATGCAACATATTAATACAGTTTCTGCACACACACATTCCATTTACAATACATTTACATTTACATTAACCCAGTATGTTTGAATTTCCTACCGATAAAGGGATTCCGGAACTATGATGAAAATATAATCTAGTAACTTTTTAATGACAATGTAATTGTAAACGTTACTAACTGATGATAGCACATCCTGATTTGCCTTCTGGCACAGGTTTAACAATATTCATATTAAGAGTGCATCATGCAGTATAGGCGGTAGAGGCACTCAACGATAGTGATAACTAGAGTATATAGGGATTACTTAACATGTATTACTGACATCTGATCTCCGCCTTGGAAAGATATTTGAACTATGTACACACAAAGCATTAGTCATCCACCAAGCTGATGCTAAATAATGACCAATCTCTCTTCTGAACCAGTCACAAGACAGTTCATATTAACCTCAATTAATCATTGATTACCAAAGGCTAGCAATTCAACACAATCAGTGGGAAACATAGATGACATGAGATCATGCAGTGACTGCCAAGAGCTGTAAGCAAAAATATTACCTACTATCAACCCCCCACCAAAGGTTGTCCTACATTCTGCCACAACTGGGGTGTTTTTCAGATGAAGCCATTTTCACTACCATAGGATGTCACAGCTATCAAGGAATATGACACTGCCTTGGCACACAGCACACATCATGAAATTCAAACATTTCATTTAGCAAACTGACTGAAAGAGGCCACTTGGAGGACTTGGCATTGATGATACATTAATATTAAATTGCATCTTCTGAAACAGCATGAACTGGAGTCATATGACTCAGGACAGACAACAATGGTGGGCTACTGTAAACATGGTAATTAACATTTGGGTACAGTACAGGTTACAAATTTCTTTAAGAGCATTTATTATCTTCTGGGATGTAGTGTCATGTAGTCTAGCAGAAGTCTGCTAGTCCTGAAAGCTTAATCCATACATTAAATTCCCACCATAAAAACGAAGCATTTGGACATTCCACGAGATTTGTTTCTACCTTATGCCTTTAAAAACATGGAGTAAATATGTCCTGGCTTAATAGCTTCTGCAAAATACTTTTCAATAAAAACTATCATCATGAAAACTTGTCACCTATGAAGGGAAATGTTCATTTAATTACACTGTCAGTATATACACCATATACCATCAAATTGTAGGAAGACTGACGAATGATGAAATGGCAAGCATCTGGGGGAAGCAGTCATGATCACTATTGTGGCATATGTCTTGAAGGAGAGTAAAACCACAAAAGTGCAGTCAAGATAGCCGGTGCCCTTGCCAAGATTCGAACCAAGCTCCTCCAAAATACAACTCTTGGGGGGGGGGGTCCTGCTATACCAACGTGGCCAGTCAGATGAATTACTGCTATAAACCTGAGTTCACTTGTAGAAAATAAGGAACAAAAAGTGGATTATTAGATGAATACATCAGCAGGCAGATTTGACAATGGCACTTTAATTACAGATTTCCAAATACAATATACTCAGTGACTATACCATTCAGTATGACGGCTAAATATTTTTCAACTATAACTGAAATGTGACATTTGATAGTTTAAGCCAAGATTCACAGTACAGTCTTCTGATTCTGTATTTCAGCATCCCGTTGCAACTGTTCAACTTAACGTCCATTATTTATTGTCTGTCAATATTGCAACACTCTTCCATTCACCACTCAATTTTTAGTTTAACATTATACACCTTGACACTACATGTTTCGGCCACGAACGACCATCTTCAGGTGTCTTGATATGTTACAGTTATTTTATTTTTGTGGTAAACTGCTGCACTGTCTTAGTTCATGTTAAAATCACATGCTGCAGTCCTCTTTTTAAGGTAAAACCAGATAAAATCCTTTAAAGTTTCTATTATACCCAGGTTCTTTTGGTGCATATTATTTCACCTCACACGGAGTGTCGTCCATTTTCATAATTGTATGTCTGTCCAGGGTGTTTTGTCTCAGCAGCTTGCCCCTCACATTAGTAGCCTACTTTTCAGTTATGACTGCCATATGCCCCTGGTTTGCATGTTTCCTCCACAGCGTGTGGAGTACAGACAGTGTACTAGTAAAGACAACACCACACGCTGTGGAGGAAACATGCAAACCAGGGATATGGCAGTCATAACTGAAAAGTAGGCTACTAATGTGAGGGGCAAGCTGCTGAGACAAAACACCCTGGACAGACATACAATTATGAAAATGGACGACACCCTGTGTGAGGTGAAATAATATGCACAAAAATAACCTGGGTATAATAGAAACTTTAAAGGATTTTATCTGGTTTTACCTTAAAAAGAGGACTGCAGCATGTGATTTTAACACGAACTAAGACAGTGCAGCAGTTTAACACAAAAATAAAATAACTGTAACATATCAAGACACCTGAAGATGGCTGTTTGGGGCCAAAACATGTAGTGTCGAGGTGTATAATGTTAAACTAAGAATTGAGTGGTGAATGGAAGTGTTGCAATACTGACAGACAATAAATAATGGAAGTACAGTCTTCAGAGTTGAAAATGTGTAGCCTGGCATGTGGCTACCAATGTTTTGAAAGAACACACTGCCTTCATCCTCTTCCTTGAAGATGGAGGCAGTGTGCTGCTCTAAAATGCTGGTAATACCTACCAGAATCTACAATGTCATAACCCAGAAGACCGCAACATGAAACTTCTCTGTCATTAAAATCTCAAACTTCATACATTTTTACATATGTTTTTAACACTTCACATCTTTATCACAGACTTGCCAACTTGAAATTTACAATGCAAGAAATATATCAATTCACCGTTTCATTTTCTCACTACAGGTTTCCCAACTGAATCCTGTACTTCAATAAACTCCCCATTATATATATCACGTGAAAGGACTTACAAATGACAGCACCAGAAGAAATTATGTTCAAGTGAGTTACGGATTTCAATTACAATACAATACAATATAATACAATACAATCTTTACTGTAATAATAATTTTCTATTAAAACCCACAGACACACACACTACATTTACCCAACTACAGGACATCGACTATAAATGCTCAAAATGAAGGAATGTTAAGAACAATTTCGGTACCCAGCCAACATTGTATTTCATTTCACTTCATACATGAATTGCATGGCTATCTTGCCTTATATCTGAGTAAGATAAAAACGTATAATTTTCCCTGTGCCTATTTAAATAAGTACTATGCCATGAATATATGAGAGTGGATACACAGCTCCACCATTCTTAACTTTAGCATTAGGTGCAGGTGAGTGGCCAACTTCATAGCCCTGCCACTTTACACCCAGGAAAGAGCCCCCAGTACCCATTTGACAGGTGCTTGGTGAACCCAAGAGATGTTCTAGATGCTGTGGAGAAGACAAAAATCCCTTGTCCCTGCTGGCAATGAAAACCCAATTCCTCAAGAGTACAGCCTGTAGCACGATGCTACAACTGAGTCATATGGATATTATCAATAACTAGATTCCATGGTAGTAACGTGCACTGCTAAGTATTACTCTTTACTATTTTATTCTGAGTGTTGCCATGATGCCTCACGAGTCCTGTGGTCATGGTACAGAAAATCCAATTACTGCTTTAGAAACAAACTGATACTCTGTGGCTGTGCAGTTTTCTCTATATGCTAGAGTTGGCAGATGTCTATTTCCCCAGAAACCATTTATAAAATTTGATATTTTACCCATTTTCATTCATTACCAAATATAAGACAACCATGCATTTTTGAATTAAAAGAAAAGCAAAAATCCTCATCTTATAATTGTGTAAATATGCTATTCCATTACAGAATGTGATTCAATCAAACATGACAATCACACTTTTATTTAAGATTGAACTGAAACAAGTTAAAAAAGAGGCCTAAACCCTTACACTTTCTTTTGAAGAAAGTGATTTATAAAACATGTTTGTTCTTGTGAGTAACTCTGTATCACATTGGCAAAAAACTCAGATGGCTGGATCACCATTATGCTCACTAGCCTGCAAACAGAAAACACACTTCCATTACTAAGCAACTTGTCCAATGCATATGGTCCACAAAGAACAACTCAATTTATAATTTGTTAAGTTTTTTAACCTCACTTTCAAATAAAATTCCAAAGACCCATTCTCATTTTGAAGTAAATAAATTAAATCAGGGAATTAATACATAAATTCTTAACCAATATTTGTAACGGACACAAAATCTTCATAGAGGTATTTATAATTCAGTGAAGGATGCCTGGCAACTTAGAGGCAAGGCACTGCATATCAGGGAAAAAGGTCTCAGGCTCAAGACTGGCATCACCAAATATTCCATTCCCTTCTCTGATCTCTAAAATAATTTTTTATTTGGAGGGATAGTAGGCTTCAATCATGGTCCAGAGCACGCATTATGCTTCAACTCTGCCAGCTGTCATTCTATCTTCCAGACAGGAGAGTCCACCTCACAGTTGCGCCCTTTTCAGAAATGTACTCTGACACCATAATATAATGTAATACACTAGCAATAGCTGAAGACAGTCTGAGGTTTATCCTGTATTCTAGCAATGGCATAAAATACGAGTAGTTTGCATTTCCCTCCATGCCCCATAAATGGCAGAAGATAGTCTGGCTTTCCCCCCATAACACAAACAGTACACATATATATAGTTGGGTTTTCCCTTGTATCTTCAGCCCCCACAGCTGTCACAACCCCAGTGCTTTTCTTACAGAAGTAATGAGGAAAATAATTTGGCTTGGAATTGACCGATGCACATCTGTGAGTGTCTAAAACCTTCACAAGAAGGTCCCCTACCATCATGCCAAATCTGTTTAAAATAGGTGCAACACTGTGGAAATTTATAAAGAACATATACAAGCTATTCTTTATAAGCAAAACGGACAAAAACATCAATGAGATACAATATTTGGGTCCATGGTTTTCAAGCATATAGACTTCACTTAGTTCCTACCTTGATCACTGCTGAGACTGCATAAGCTGCAGCAAATCCAAGCGCAAACACTATGACATAAGGAAGGCACCCCAGTTTCACACCTTTTCTCTTCCTCATCAAGAATTCCACAATATTCATCTTCTTTTCAGAGTATGGAGGATATCTGTTCCTGCAGGAACAAGACATTAGTGAAACTTCTGTAATTTAAATATCACAAGTCATCAAGTGGAACACAGCACCAATGGCAAGGAATTACATTTCTTATGTAACTCATGGACCTGAGCCCTTCTTGAGAAGCCGCCAATTGTGCAGCTACTCAAGAATTTCCCAGCATTTTATGGAACACAAAGGTTCATTTCCATGTTCACAAGAGCACTCCACTGGTCCCAATCCTGAGCCAAATCAATCGAATCCATACCATCCCATCCTATAAGATCCAATTTAATATTGTCCACTCACCTATGCCTTGGTCTTCCCAGTGGTCTCCTTCTATCTGGCTTCCCCACCAATATCCTATATGCATTCCTCTTCAGGCCCATTCATGCTACATGGCCCACCAATCTCATTCTCCTTGGCTTGATCATTCTAATTATATTTGGAGAAGAGTATGAAGCTCCACATTTCTTACGTCAGCAGGTAAAATGTAAGAACGTTCGTTTCACTAAAGCATAGTTACTAGATCAGCTCCACTCTGAAAACTGTGGCATGTTCCAAAGGTGCAAATACAAAAGCATGCTCCAGGACAGTATGGAAATGACAGAATGTAAACTAAATACCCCACACACAGACAATGCAAATTTGTGTGTGTCTGTAAGCACAATACTTTAATAATATGCCATATTTGAGCATAAAGGACAACTGACTGCTGGGAGTATTTCAAAGAAGCAATTATAGTTTTGCTGCAGTATTCATGAAGCGAATGGTGGTCAGAAAGGACATCCAAATCCACAAATCTGTATAGCAATGCAGTGGTTAACATTCACACTTCATGTTTAAATAGTTCCATAACTGAAAATCTTGGGTTACAAATTGCCTGTTACAGATCAGGTTTCATGTGGACCCACACAATACCTCAGACAGCATGATACCTTAAAATCAGACAAGTGCTTCTTCTCACACTCTTTCCAGTTCACCATTCATGTACATACTCATATATTAACTTTTACCCCTCATATGCCATTACCTAACAACTTTCACACAATATAAACCTGACCCATATCACAAAATTCTTCATTTGTTCACTTCATAATGTTTTGGCACAGAGGTGTAATTGTATTGCAGTATACAAGTAATACAAAGGAAATTAAATTTACTTACGATACCAGCTTTTCTGCTATTGGGTTAAAGTCTTTAACAAGGCAACTCTTCTTATGTGTAAAGGTGTTGAATGTGTGAACACCGTGGTATGCTCCCATGCCACTGTGGCCAACACCACCAAAAGGCAAAGTATCAACTGAAACAGAAAATCAGCATATCCTGCTTTAAATTCTTGTTTCAAAGTAAGTGACCTGGATCATAAACAACAGTGAATAACAATACATGTTCTTAGGATATATAAAAGTATATAAGGTATGCAGTCTACACAACAACATTCTGTATTTAAGAAACAAAGAAGACACTACTGTATCAAAAAAAATAAAAATAAATGTTGATACAGTAGTGCCCTCTTTGTTTCTTAAATACAGAATATTGTTATGTAGACTGCATACCTTATGTACCTTTATATATCTATTCATAACACACAACAGGTTGCATATGTTCTTAGCATTTGTGAATTTCTAGAGCTTGTTCATTTTCTGGTATTCCAGACATAAGAGCAAGTTTTGGAAATTTGACATTTCCATTCTCACATGGGGTGGAATCTACTCAGTTTAGTCCATAAGAAAGAGCTCATCTTAATCAACGGACCCTCGGTGTGTACACACTTGTGTGTACCAGTTCACAAGAAGGGTGATAAAACTGACTAGTAATTATCGGGGGATATCACTGCTATCAACTTCATACAAAATTTTATCCAATATTCTTCTCTCAAGGTTAAGTCCAGATATAGACGAAATTATTGGGAATCATCAGTGTGGGTTCTGAAGTAACAGATCCCTGTTCATGTTACCTGCCAATTAATCTCACAGCACCTCTATTCATGTCAGTTTCCAATCAATGATAAATCATACTCATGTGATCCAACACATCAGTTCACAAGTCTTACAACTTTCTGTGATAGTTAATTGTAATACCTGACATTTTGCTGGCAGTTGTGCTTAATTCCTTTTACCATTTATATCAGGGATGGTTATTTGCTGACAAATTTCAGGAATTAGATGACAAAATTATATGAACACAGCATAAAAATAATTGGTTTTCATGTCCCATGTCCTCATTGAGAATTTTCCACATATTAGAGTTAATGTTACATTAGTCTGCACACGGCATTCTCAGGACCAGAGAACCTATCAGATGATGACAATTTCCATGTAATGCAGGTTTTTCTAATTATTAACCATCTTCATGCCATAAGTTGATTTGACCAATTTTGGGTACTAGCATTAAAACAACCGGGGCTGAAGACATCAGCTCTTTGTTAATCGTTCAGTAGAGTATTTTTCAACGAGAAGCATCAAATGTGACATACTGATGTTTCAAAAAGAAAACAGGCTTTCGTTTGATCAAAACCTGTGGCTGTCTGAAGGTCATTTGAGGTACTGTGGGTTTTTCTGTGCAACTGCACAGCTTTGGGGTTTCTTTCAGGTAGTTCTAAGTAGGGCTTGGCAGTCAAAGATTTTTCTTTTTTCATTTTGCTAATTCTTGCACAGCTTGTAGTACTAAGTTTGATAGTAAAAATTAAAGGTGTCTTCCTAGATGCTATGTTAAGCAACTTGGTATGGTTCTCTGTTGTTTACCTCCTGCATGCATGATGGTGTCATTACACGATATCCCTCCACAAGGAATGTTTTCTATCAGCAACTTCATGTCATTCTCATTTTGAGTGAAGATGTACAGAGCTAATGGTTTCTCCCTGTACCAATTAAAACATGTAATTAAAGTAACGAACAAACTACTGAGAAGGAATCGTGGGATTTCCACCACCTGCAGAGTAAATGAGAAACTACACAGAAAGGCCAGAAATATACAGTTAAACCTTCTAACATACCATATACTGCACCTAACTGCACTAAAGAGGAGACGCAGAACAAAATTATAATATATTAGCACAACTCTCAACAAAAATGGCATAAATGAAAAAATTAATTACCTTTACAGGCATGAATAAATAAAAGTTGTGGTATCTTGCATCATGAAACAAATCACAATGAGGAAACAGGACACTTAGAAGTTCATGGGAGGTGAAATAACAAGAGCAATATTCAGAATGACAGAAATATGTGGTTTCAGAACACAACAAAATGTAATCAGGTGATCAAAAGCCAAGTAAAGTATATAGATGCAACATACGAATACAGGAGAAAAATATTTAACATACACCACAGCTCATGAAGTTAAAACACGAGTCGTCATAAAGAAATTGGAAAACACAATTCACCCCTCTGAAATGAATTTACTGAGGAGCATTAATATATTTAACTAAGAAATTGTATTGCAAGGAGAAGAAATAAGAAAAATACATGAAAATTTAAAACCCAGCATACCCATTTTGTTTGTACATATAAGAACACTGAAAAGTCATAGAATTCCTGAAAACCAGTGCAATAAAGGAACAAACACTACGTAGTGTACAACTGAAAGAGGTTACACACTAAGTTTCTATGTAAACATTACATCAATTAGTTTAAGAGTAAAATACAATACTGGAGGGTCAGAGAGTCTGCATTTAAGTTTTATACATCTGGAATTTTTAATAACTTAACAGTTTGCTGTACAGCAACTTTGAAATACAGATATACTGGGCACTCAACTGAAACTGAAACTGAAACATGCTGCTTACAGTATAGGAATAGTTTTATGCATGACCATATAGGAGGGGGTTCCCTCACTGTAGGCTGCTATCTGGCTGCGAAGAAAATCCTCACATCATTCAGTAAGTGCTACAGTGTAAAAGTAGTGGTGAGGTGTACCCTTAAGTGTGTAACAAGTTATTCACTTGAGAATGTCACACATGTGGGATATATGCTTACTTACTCATGGGGCTGAACCCTTCTGGAGGAGCCGCCAATTCTGCAGCTACTCAAAAATTTCCCAACATTTTATGGAACCCGAAGGTTCATTACCATGTTCACAAGAGCCCTCCACTGGTCCCTATCCTAACCCATATCAAACCAATTAATACCATCCCATCCTATCTCTCTAAAATCTATTTTAATATTGTCCACACACCTATGCCTTGGTCTTCCCAGTGGTCTCCTTCTGTCTGGCTTTCCCACCAATTTCCTACACACATTCCTCATCTGCTCCATTCGTGCTACATGACCTGCCTAGCTCATTGCTGTGGGATATACTAGGAGACAAAAGCGGGTTAATTCTAGTAGTTATAAAATATGGAATGTTTTAATTATATTTTTATAGCAATAAGTAAAGAAGATCTACATAAGTACAGACAGTCAGTGCCTAAGCCACAAAATGCCAGTACGTTGTTCCCTGTACAAACAATAAACTACTGCCATACTGACAAAAGCAGCAAATTTACATCTCAACTAAATGCTTTGTATTCTGTGCACTAGGAGTTTCTTTATGTGAATGATCAGAGACACTCAAATCTTGCAATTTACAAGGTAAACAGGAGATGCAGGTGTGGAGAATTAAAGTGTGTAGATCAGCCTGTCACCAAGAACTGCTACAAAAGCAATACTCAGAACCTGGACAAATATATACCATCACCTGCTAAAACAACATAAAAATGTACAAGATACCCTCAACCAGATCTCAGGTCACTGCTCTTCTTGTTGGACTCACCCCCAAACTGCATCAAGGTGTCGTTCACACATAGTGAGCCACATCTCAACTGTGAAACAAGTAGGTTTTGGATAGATTTATCCTTTGAGAACACGTACATGCTTAATGGATGTTCGCTGTCAGGAAAAAACACAAACATTTCAAAATTCATGAGATTTGATATTCCCGTGGCAGTGACTAACAAGATTAATATCTTCTGGAATGTGAAAATGTTTGGCAATGTTTTATCAACATTTCAGAATAACATACTACCCCCATCTTCAGGGTATATAAGCAAGAAAGAGGCGATACACTCCTCCAAAACACTGGTAACATCTACCATACAACATGGTGTAACATATGTGGTGCAATCCAAAAGTTCCTGAAATCAATTAATAAAAACTATTACATCTCACGTGGATCTTATTCTGCACCATCACCTTCAAAGTAGTCCCCTTGGGAGAGCATACACCGATCCAAGCGTTTCTGCCACTTTTGAAATGCATCCTGGAAGTCTTTCTTTGTTAGGGTGTTTAGTGCCGTCTGCGTTTCTACTTGAATTTCCTCAACTTTATTAAATCTTCGCCCCTTCAACTTGATTTTCATCTTGGGGGAGAGAAAGAAGTCACATGGAGCTAAGTGTGGCGAGTACGGTGGGTGGCGAACAACTGCCATCTTGTTTTCAGCCAAAAATTCCTGCACAATGTAAGCCATATGCGGTCATGCGTTGTCATTCGTGCGCCACTTCTCTGGACGTTTTCTCCTCATGTCGTCCCTCAAACGCCTTAGAACATCGCGAAAGAACTCTTTATTGACTGTCTGGCCAGGAGGGACGAACTCCTTATGAACAATCCCGTCAATATAGAAAAAAAAAGAGATGAACATGAACTTAATGTTGCTCTTGACTTGTTGAGCTCTTTTTAGTCGAAGTGAAGAAGGGCTCTTCCATTGCGATGATTGCTGCTTACTTTAAGGGTCGTAGCCATAAACCCAACTTTCGTCACCAGTGACAACCTTCGAAAGAAACTTTTGATCCTTTTGAAGCTGCTGAAGTTCCCTGCAGGCTTCCAAGTGATGCTACTTCTGTTCATTTTGGAGCAGTCTAGGCACAAACTTCGCCGCAATCCTCTTGTTGACGTGTCCCATAACTTAGTCCCAAGGTGTTACAGACGTCTTGGATGGTCAGTCTACGATCTTGCAGAATCAGATCCCTAACTTTCACGACATTTTCTGGTGTGGTGCCAGTTGACGGCCATCCCGAACGATCGTCATCATCAGTCGATGTTCGGCCATTTTTGAAACGCTTACCCCAGTCGCAAGTTTGTGTCTGTCCTAACTATTGTCACCAAAAGCTTGCTTCAACATTTGGTGTGTTTCTGCAGTGGTTTTCCCAAGTTTAAAACAAAATTTTATACAGACACGCTGCTCTCTCAGGTCATCCATTGCAAAACCGCAAACTCACCGAAACACAACAATGGAAATACGTTCACCAACAATAAGCCCAACCACTCAACTCGACGCCGATGCCACATTGATTCAAGAAGGGTGTGTGGGGAGACACCTAGCAGTACTTCGATGTACTCATAACCATTCGCGCACAACATTCAAATTTCGGAAACTTTTGGATTGCACCACATACCAGAAGATGTTACTCTTCATATCTAAAAACACAACCAAAATTAGGGATGTCATCAGTGTTGACAGGGTTTGACCGAAATTGAAAATTGGAGAAACATTACTGTCTCACAGAACAGATTTTCATGAGATGTAATACTGAGCTCTCTTATTAAATTTTATGGACAAAAGTTAATTCAGATCAGTACAGGACAATCTGAATTACTTAATAAAAAAATTATAAATCTAAATTCTGAAAGAATGTTAATTTAAAATGAAAGATTTTGATTACATTCAATATATACTTCTTAACAACATCTGAAATACAAACAGATAATTTAGATAACCATTTTACATGATAATCCAAATATTAACTGTGAAAAAAATGAATATACTATATCTAGGATAAGATAGACTGTAATCTGGGGACTTCATAAAACTCAAGGTTCAGGACAGCTATTACTACAGGTAGGATGCCTGGGGTTGACTCCTGGCTGGGGCAGAAATGTTCTATGTCACTGGGTCCAGATCAATCTGGGGGGCTCGCCCAGTCACCTAATCAATGGGTACTCGAAAGCTCTTTCCCTGGACATAAAGCTGCCAGGGCATGAAGCTGACCACTTACCTCCATCTAGTGCCAAAGTTATGAATGTATGGAGCTATACCTATGCTCCCTCTTTCATCTTCATGGCATGATGCTTAATTAAACCCAGGGAGAACTTTGCCTTAACTTTCATAACATTCAAGCCAAAAAAGGATACTTTAATCACAGCAACAGTTCCACTCTAGAACAAACTTATTTGCAAGAATACTTTGTTTAACCTTCACTAAAATGACAAATATTTCTATGAAGTAACCAGCTATATATGACAACATGGTCATCCACATCTAAAACTTACTGTCAGACCTCCTAGTTCTTTCACCAGGCAATAATGTTAAATACACCAAGTACACATGACTTTGGATATGCAGTAAGTAAAGTACAGCTATCCCTGTACAAGGCCATGAAGGCCCATAGGGTTGTGAGTAAAGTCTGGATTCCATTGTATTTCACTTGCATCTTCCACTAGTAGTGAAATGTGTTAATAGTTACCGGCTCTTGATGAACCTGATGGCATCAAATGCATTATCCACATTGACAATAGGAAGAATTGGTCCAAATACTTCTTCCTGCATCACAGGGTCTGTTGGTTTTACATCAACCAAAATTGTCGGTGCAATGAACCTTTCTGAAGGGTCTGTTTCACCACCAACAGCTATTCTTCCATTGTTCAAAAATGCCACTAGTCGCCTAAAGAAAAAATACTTCTTTAAGACAGTAGTCTGCTGTTAAAAGGGACGAAAGCTCAAAAAACAATCCCATCATCTCTGAAGAACAACCAGTTCTACAAAAAAAACTGTGCCCAACTCATCTTCAGGGGTGTGTCATTAACAGATAGTGATTTAGATTATATTTTCATCAAAAAGCTGACAAATTTTATTTTCAATACATAACAGGAACCAAAATCACCATACTGAAGATACTGTTCAAAACACAGGACTTTTTTTTTCCCATAAGGTTGGCTACAAAGTATGCTGTAGCCTCAAAGATGTTCTGTACAAAGAATACTTACTGATAGTGTCTGTCAGAGATAATTCTACACAGATCAGGCGAGTTCTTGATGTTTTCACCATAAAATTCTTTCAGGGTAGTTTTTGCCTTTTCCACAAAATCATTCTGAACTTCTTTGGAACAAAGAATATAATCAGGGGCAATGCATGTTTGTCCTGCATTTGCACACTTCCCCCATATAATGCGTTTTGCAGTAATTTCCATATCCACTGTGTTATCGATGTACACTGGACTGAAATGCAATTAAGTGTACTCAGTACCAGATTTTCTGTACAAATCACAATTAATCACAACGCAGCACCATAGCTCAAGCAGTTAGTCGTTGGATTCCCACTGTGGTGGCCTGGGTTAGACCCCAGTTCTGGTCAAGTGGGATTTGTGGTGCACAAAGTGGCACTGGGTCAAGTTTCCTCCGAGAACTTCGGTGTCCCCTGCCAATCTTCATTCCACCAAATTCTCCATCATCATAATCACCCAGGGCAGGTACAATAGGCCAATCAGTGGCCGACATGCTGAGTGGACCCAGCTGGACTCCACCCTCCAATATGCGGGGGGGGGAACACTACCAAGTTCAGCTGCGACAACATTACAGCAGGACTATCAACAAGTCTCCTGTCACATGGTTAAGCAGTTGGGTAGATATGTGGATTAACTGAACAGTCTCAATGTTCAACTACAATACAGCAGCCTGTATCTACTGAGGTAGCAAGGTGAAGATATTCACGTGCAAGGCGACTGGTAAATTACGAATCCAGTTTTACTTGCTTACTTTACTAAACAGCTGGGAGTTTGGGTATTGTAGTCAGCATAGTGACTGGCTACAGGCTGGATGACTTAGGGGTCGGAGTTCAAGTCCTGGTATGGTCAAGAATTTTCTCCTCTCCACATCATCCAGACCGGCTCTGTGGTCCACCCAACCTCCTATCCAATGGGTACCGGGGATTCCTTCTCCGGGGGTAAAAGCAGAAGGGGCGTGAAGCTGACCACTCACCTCCAGCTAGTACCAATGTCAAAAAAATGTGGATCCACACATCCAATCCCCCATACACCTTCATGGCATAGTGCTTAATTTGTTACTAAACAGCTGAATCCATATATACATACACAACATGTGCCAATCAAACCATTAAAATGTGAAATTATCACTTTCAAAGACAGCAAACAATTAACCAACTTCGGTGGAGACAAATCTTTCTCAAGAAGCTAACAGTTGCTCAGCTACTCAAGAAACCAGTCTGAAGTGCACTTAATTTTTACTGTACAAGTGCTTCTTTCACTGTATGTTTATTACTGTATATGTCTGTTTATGAGACTCCACTATATTACCTTTCTATGAGAGTTTTTCTCGTGCACCAAGCAGGTTCATCTAACCAGTGCACCAAATTCCCTATACATGCCATGTAGCCAGGAGTTTGTACTGTAGTATAACAGGAGTAATGAAAAGCACTGAACAGAAGATAAAGCTCCATACTCACCTCTTGCCTCCCATCTCCAACGTAACAGGTGTCAGGTGTTCGTTGGCCGCAGCCCTCACAATTTTACCAACAGTTGTAGATCCTGTGTAAAATATATAATCAAATTGCTCCTTGAGAAGTGCTGTAGTTTCTGGTACACCTCCCAATACCACATGGAAACATTCCTGGCTCAACAGAAAGACACCTTGTTTCACCAAATGTAACCTTCTGTCTCCCCAAGATAATAGTATCTACCATTTAATTTCCCATATTCATTTTTACTGTCACATTTTCTTAAAATAAACAGAAATAAACAGTTTAATGCTGCCTTCCCTCATATCCAACCACACCAACAGACAGAGGGCAGTACATGTATCACTGCAGTATATAGCAGTATGCTGGGATCGACTTTAGTTGTCAGACAAAGCACAGCATAGAACATCTTATGGGGAATCCTGACATGAAAGTTTTAGCATTCTGTCTGACCCCACTCAGATATTTTCTCTCGGATTTTATTCACAGATTCTTGACTAAAGAACAGTCCTTCATGGATGAAACTGGCATAGTCTACAACTCTAGACTCACAAAACCATTACATTACAATTAGGCCATGGAAGAAACTGATAAATAAACAATATTTCTTACATGGCTGCAGTTGCTGACTGCCAACATCCAAAACTGACATAATAAAAACAAAATGTTACTAGATGATGTCCTACTAACAATGGTGATACAATTAAAGGGACAGTGTATGAGGCTTCAATTCATGCAAAAGGGAAGCCTGACAAAGGCTTGCATTGCAGTGCAAGACAGCAAGAGTAACCATATTGACGGAAAACCTTTTCTCTGCTTGATGCTAAATTTATATCAGAACTTACTTACCAATTAGAAATAGCAACCATCATCCTCATTGCTCCAATATCATTTAGAGGACTTAATGAGATATCCGTTTATGTACACTTTTAGACAATTCTTAAAAATCTTAGTTCATATGTGACTGATTTGAAAGTAACACAAATGATGCTCATTTTTGTTGTGAAACAACTCTTTATATATGATGTTATGCATTTCTTACAAGAAAATAACTGGAAATAAGTGGCACAGAAAACATGCCTTTCACTCTGTGGGTAATCATTCTTTTCAGTGTTTCAGGTGGAAACATAAAGTAGCAGCAAAAATGTGAATAGCTGTGAATATTGTGACATGTCACGCTAGCTGGACCCACCCCCCCGGAGCTGACGCGCCAAGCGGAGCGGAAGTTAGCCAAGTCCCAGTGTCCTGGTAGCTATGCAACGCGCGGTGACGTAAGACGGCATGAGGTAACAGCGTTGCTAGGCTATACGCAGACACTGTTACGTGGCACAGAACAACGCTGTTGACGCGGGCAACAGGTAACAGCGAACGGAATATAAGCCAGCTGAGCAGCAAGCGAGAGCCAGTGTGAGATCAACAGTTCTCCAGTCAGCAGTGAACGAGTAAAAGTGTGATAATCAGTGACAGTTTGTGATAACTGAGAATTAATTGGGAGTGTGTAACACAGTGACACTTGTATAGCTCCCGTACTGTGAAACGTGTAGTCTACTGACAATAGCGTGATTTGATTTGCGAATAGGGTTATAAATTGTGAAATCCCACAATATTGTTGTAATTAATTGTAGCCGAGATTTGTAGGTTGTTAAATAAACCAATTAACGATCTCTACGGCGTATTCATCAACCCAACACGTTACAATATTAATACAAATTCTGAAATGACTGCTGTCAGCTGAAATTACAGTTGATGTCAAACCTGACACTGGTGCCAATGATTCAGCATCATAAATTATGGAAACATGCACTTTATTTTCACACGTCTGAAAACATTAGCTAATACTGTATTACCAGCATCTCAGAAACATTATTAACAAAATAATTTATCCCGGGTAGTAAGAAATGGACTCAGAACATTGGAAGCAGATCTAGGTGCACAGTTTTTATATTCTAGTAGATAAAATTCTCATAAATGCTAGAGTAGATGAACATTCGAAAGGTTGCATGTAATCTGAATGACCACAGAACAGAGTTTCTATTGCTTACTGGTTTCTCTGAAACATGAGTACATATCTACCCAACTACATGGTGTCAGATCCCACAGCCATAACCGTGGTACATACTGCTGTGAGAAATTCCATTCTCAGGTATTATTTTGTTGTTTACAAAATCTGAACTGCCAACAATTAATCACTTGTTTATATAGAAAAGCTGTAGGTAGTACTTGTTTTGTACATCACTTACAACCAAGATGAAAACAATCATATGTTGTTGGCCTTGTTCTCTCAGTAGCAAGTCGCTTCAGCAACTGCACTATCCCTACTCTGTAAGACTACAGTATCATACAAAATTAGCTGAATAGATATGTGACAGCTGCACTTACCTTTTTTTTCCGAATCACATTAAAGTTCATATAATAAATGTAAACAACGCAGTGTTCTCACCTGATCCAGATATTTTGGAACAAGCTTCGCCATTAGTTCTGCAGATGCAGTAGCAATTTCTGATGGCTTGATAATGACACAGTTGCCTGCGGCAATGGCTCCAGAAACTGGCAAGAGAGTCAACTGAAGGGGATAGTTCCAGGCACCAATTATCAGTACTACCCCATATGGATCATTGTAGATTAACACACCATCCATAGCATTGACAAGGCTTTTTGGAGGCTGAAAATGAAACAGTCATGAGTGGTCTGAGAGAACCGATGAAAGATACCTTTGTAATGAACATGACTATTTAACCTTACCTTTTCTGGTTTTGTCCATTCATGCAGATTAAAAAGGGTATTTTTTGTTTCATTTATCAGAAATTGGATTTCAAACAATACAGCTTCTTGCTTGCTCTGCAAAATGAAGATAAACAAATTGTTATGTACAGTACAATCTTACAGGATCAAAAGCATTAAGATCTTGGGAAAGCTCCTTTTTTTTTTCAATCTGACACAATTTCTGATTATGTTTAAAAAAATGTTATCATACCAAATTTCATAACCCAAAGTCATCAGTTACTAGTAACAAAAACTTAAACATACAAATCTGACAGTCACCTTATTCATGGATTCTTCACTTAGAATAACTAGCCTTATCACACATTACACATCTTTCAGTGAACTATCATCACATAAATTTTTGAATGGCTATTTTCTTTCGTATGCTTCAATCTATAAAATATGTTGAGGATAGCATGAGCTATGAAATAGTTATATAATTCAGTGATCCATGTCTGCACTTATCTTCTACAATAACAAAGTCCAGTAGCATTCAATCTGTCAGATATAACCTGAAAAAGTTTATGCCACTGATATTTACATCATTTTCAACATATAAAAATGTGAGATTTGTGGCTTTTATGGCAGTGAAGATTTAGAGTGGGGTCTTCTGAACACGGAGACAGTGAGTTCTTCAAAACCTCACTAATGATCCACACAAACAAACCAGGATATGCACACCTAGTGTAACAACTGGGCATAAATGTGTGCTTTATCTTTGATTGTGTTAACCATAAAATATTATTGGATAAATTGAAATTCTATGGAACTGAAGGAAAATTCAAAACACTTATAGGATCTTATCTGACAGGTAGATGTCGAAGAGTTGTATTGGGTAATAGAATTGACAGTAACAACTCATCCAAATGGGAAACAATTAAATGCGGTGTTCCACAGGGCTTGATTCTTGGTCCCTTGTTTTTCTCTGCTTTATATTAAGGTTTTACCTAAAATAATAAATGCAAATAATAATATGGTATTATTTGCAGATGACACCAGTATTATAGTAACTGACACTAATAAGTTAAACTTTGAAATAAATCTTAATGAGACTTTCAAAGATATAAATACATGGTTTAATGCTAATTTGCTTACCTTGAATTTTAACACTTTGCGGACCGCGCACCCTTTAAAAGGTTTTTCACTTTTAAACATGGCGGACCATTCGCCTGTTAACAGGCTTTTAAAACATGATAAGTTGCAACACACTATACATCTCTCTGCCGCCACCCAAGTTGCACGCAATGGCGTAATAAAATTCTGGAATATTCGCTCACTTGTCAGTAAGTTGATCTCGCTGTTTTCTTAAGCCACTATAAGTGATAATGCTTTATTGCTCTTCAAGCTGTATGTATCAGCCAGTAGTTGGTGTTGGGGTATGAACAAGGACAAATTATTTTCTGATGAGCCAGCTGACCTGCCTTGTGAGATGCGTAGTTATGGCGTTTGAGAGAGCAGCAGTGACAGGGGATAGCAAATAATTGTGGCCACTTGTGGCCACAGACAGTAAAACTAACTGTAGCTCTGACGATAATGGGGGTAATAATAACATTGCGGTGACTAACATTGCGGGGACAGTAAAAAATTTAAAAAATCACAAAAATCTAAACCCTGATTCAAAATTGAAATACAAAGCATTTCTGATGAATGTGGCAAAGCCCTGGGCTACAGACCAGATGGTGGCGGCAGAACCAGAGTCAGACACAGACTTAGTGCGATCGTGCCCATCCAATCCCACCCCACGCAAGCCTCATGTAGATCCCACAGGGCGACTCTTGGGTGATATGCGGAAACATACCCTCGTGAAAATTGTGAAGAGTGAACATTCCAAGGGGAAGCATCTTTCTAGGCAATGCCGTGTTTCCACAGTTCAAAAAGAAAGGAGCATGTCTACATTTGCAAGTTCTCTGTAATGCCACTTCACAAAGGGGAATGTTTCCAGAAATATCACACTCTCAAGCACTTCTAGGAGCATTGGAAAGTGTTCTCCAAAAATTTTAATTCATAAAATTAATTAGGAAATTTTATATTAATTTTTAAAGTGAACAGTGCACAAGTTAGGGTAGTAGGTTTAAAAACGCCGGTACCCAGGGTGATTTAAATATTTAAATCGTCGGTCCACAAAGTGTTAATAAGACTCAATATGTCGAGTTTCGACCTGTGAATTATTATAATATCACTACTCAAATTAACTATGATCAGATAAATTTAACAAATGTGACTGAGACAAAATTTTTGGGATACTCTTCCGTAGAAACAACATATTGATTATGTTAATAATAAAATTTCCATTGCATGTTATGCATTGAGAAATATAAAATATATTGTTCCTTTAGACATGTTAAAGCTAATTTATTTTGCTCATATACATTCTATCACAAGTTATGGTATAATTTTGTGGGGTGGCTCTTCTTGTGTTAACAAAGATTTTATATTGCAAAAGAAAGTTATTCTTGTAGGGACACTTTTAAGAATTTTGAAATAACGACGTTCTACTCTCAGTACATATATTCATTCCTTTTATACACAATTAATAATAAACATTTATTTAATTTTAACAATGAGATTCACAAATACAAAACTAGAGCCTTCAATAATTTATTTTTACCTGCAGTTAACCTAACAAAATACAATAAAGGCGCATACATATCAGGTATGAAAGCTTTTAATCATCTTCCTCAAACAATAAAAATGTTGGCTACTAATGAGAGAAGTTTTAAATCTGCATTGAAGAAGTTTTTATATCATTCTCTTTATTCCATGAATGAATATTATCAACATAATTGGTCATAAGTGTGTAAATCTGTAATGTATTTAATTCAGTTAATATAGGTAATTAAAAAAAACTGACTACTATTCATAATGTTGTATTTTAGCGTCCTGTTGCGTTGATTTTCGTCCATGATATATATACAGTGTCCATCTTGCAGTGCATACACTTTAACCTGTCACTTCACAACATGTTTCGGCACCATAGTGCCATCATCAGGTGCTCCATTTACACCAATCTATTGCATTGCATGCCATTATGTCAATGTAAAATTATTTAAAAAGCATTTTAAAATATTCATCAATTATAATAAATTTTTTGTATACTAAAATCTTGTTAAGATATTCATCTTATCTGTCCCAATTCAAAACCCATGCATGGTTCCTCCACTATGGGAGTCATTCCTCTTATATGCCGTGTGTATCTGCAACGTGAGAAAGGTACTTATTATTATTACTTTCGGCTTCTATCTGTTATGTGTTGTATTATAATGTTTAGTACTCACCGTGTCTCGTGATGTGTGTTCCCTTTTTGGCTGCGGGTGTTGTAATGTTGGATGTGTGTGTGTCTTCGTATTGATTGAGCTATGATGTTGTGGGGGTAGGCGGTGGGGTTGTGTTATGTTGTTCTGTGTAAATTGTGTGTAGTTCATGAAATATTGGGTTATATATTTCCTTATTTATATTGTTCATATGTGTGTTTTTCTTTGTTGTTCTGTATATATGATAGTTTTCCAATGTGTTTAAATACTGTCCTTTCTTATTTGTTGCTATGATATCCATAGTATTTTCTATTGTACCATATGCATGTCCTGTGTTTAATGTGTGTTCAAAGTATCCTGTATTGCTGTTATTGTGTCTTATGTCATGTATGTGTTCCTTACATCTGGTATTAAATTTCCTCTCTGTTTGTCCTATATATTCCATGGGGCAAACTAGGCATTTCATTCTAAATATGCCACTTTTGTTATATTTACTCGTTTGTGTTTTTGATTTTAAAATATGTTGTAAATTATTCTTGGTTCTAAATGCTATTTTTAATTTTGTGTCACGAAATAGTTTTGTAATGTTTCTTGTTTCTTTTCTTATGTATGTGAATGTTGCCCATTTCATTTTTTGTTCCTCTGAATTCTCTGTGATGTTCTGTTCTTTTGTAATGTTTTGGTTTCTTTTATTTGTAGTTAGTTTAGTAATTATATCTGTGTTGTATTTATTGTTTACGAGTATGTTATTTATAGTAGTTATCTCAGTATCTTTTGCTACTTTGGTAATGGGGTAATTATTTACTCAGTCTATAAGGTATTTAATACCAGATATCTTGTGTTCTTGTGGATGACATGAGTCACTTGGTATTAATATGTCCATTGCTGTGTGTTTGCGGGGTACTGAAAATTGCAAATTTTCTGTTTCTCTATATATTCCTATATCTAGGAAATTTATAGATTTATGGTTCTCTTTCTCTATTGTGAAATTTATTGTTGGTTGCAGTTTATTAAATTCTATAACCATTTCGTCGATATTTGTTTTGTTTATATCATATAATATTAGTACGTCGTCAACACATCGGAAATATCCAATTATGTTCTGTTTCATTAATATGTCGTATATTTGTGTTTGTTCCATGTTCTGGATATATATTTCTGCTAAAATTGCAGATGTTGGAGCTCCCATAGCTAAACCATCTGTTTGTTTGTAAAATTTCTGTTCATATTGAAAATAATTTTGGTTCAGTATGATATTCAATATGCACATAATTTCTCTATGTGTATTTGTGTAAATGTTATGATTGTGTTGTAGTATATTCTTAGTTAATTTCATTATTTCATTTTTGGGTATATTTGTATACATGTTTTCTATATCAAAAGAACATAATCTTATGTTTTCATCTATTATGATGGTGTTGAAATCATTCATTAGTTGTTTGGAGTAACGTTTGGTAATTATAAATATTCTAGTAGTGTCCTAGATATTAGTATTGCTATTTGGTATGCTGGTGCATGTCTCCAATTGATTATGGGTCTAATGGGTGTGTTGTGTTTGTGTAGTTTTATTGTCGCGTGTATATTTTGGGCTGTAGGGTTCATGTTTGTGTATTTCCATTTTTGTTCTTTTTGTATTATATTTGTGCATAGTTTTATTGTTTGTTTAATTATGTTTTGGTATTGTATTTACACAGAACAACATAACACAACCCCACCACTTACCCCCACAACATCATAGCTCAATCAATATGAAGACACACACACATCCAACATTACAACACCCGCAGCCAAAAAGGGAACACGCATCACGAGACACACGGTGAGTACTAAACATTATAATACAACACATAACAGATAGAAGCTGAAAGTAATAATAATAAGTACATTTCTCACGTTGCAGATACACACGGCATATAAGAGGAATGACTCCCATAGTGGAGGAACCATGCGCGGCTTTTGAATTGGGACAGAGAAGATGAATATCTTAACAAGATTTTAGTATACAAAAAATTTATTATAATTGATGAATATTTTAAAATACTTTTTAAATAATTTTACATTGACATAATGGCATGCAATGCAATAGATTGGTGTAAATGGAGCACCTGATGATGGCACTATGGTGCCGAAACATGTTGTGAAGTGACAGGTAAAAGTGTATGCACTGCAAGATGGACACTGTATATACATCATGGACAAAAAAAATTGTATTAATTCAAGTTTTATAGCAAGTTGTTTTTAAATTATGTTTATTAATTAAAATCTTATTGTTTTTTTCCTTTATATTATTATTTATGTTAACTGATTGTGATTTTGATTATGTGACTCGTGTAATTTTGTATATGTATTTTGATATATCTATTTTCAAAGGACCATTTCCACATCCTAGGTTTGTTACCTGTATGGATATATGGAAAATAAAGGAAATGAATGAATGAATGACTTTTATTCAAAACATTTTTTATTGTAGGCTCTAAAGGGTGTTGCATAAAACTATAGAATACAACATTTCAAAAATTGGATATTTCTGTCGTCAGGTGGTGGGGTGGGGGTGGGGGGAGACAACTACTCAATTGAGTCCCTTTCAAAGAGCTAACCTCATTCCAGTGAGGGTCCCTCAGTAACTGCTAACCTCAATCCAGTGATTAGCTCTTTCTAAGGGACCCAAAAGAGTTGGTGTCTCCCTGTCACCTGAGGATGGAAAAAATTCCAGTTGCCGAAATGTTGATCTCTGGTATTTTGGAATATCGGATGATGGACGAAGTCCAAAAACCCAGTAATTCTGACGATTTTTCACTAAGTGTCTGTTATTGTTGTTCAATTTTGAGTAAAAATGGAGCGTCACCAAATTTTAGCAAAACTTCTCAGTATTTACCACGTAAGTCCATTCAGTGGTTCTTTTGTTACATACAAACAGCCAGATAGAAGGAAATGGAAAATCTAACAGGTATATGATCATGGCTTTTCACAGTGAATGCACCAAAAGCTTTTCATACAAAATTTGCATGTACTGTGAAGAACTCATTCCATATACACAAAATTCTACATACGCTTAATTTCATTTATTCATTAATCACAGACATCAAACCAAAAGCTTTTTTTTCTTCTTAATTTATTTGTTTGATCAGCAATCAGAATATACATTCTATAAGCTAATGTTGTGGCTGTTTAAATGACTTGATGAGGAGTCATCCAGCGGTGAATCCTCAGTAATTCAAAACCAGGTCAATTGGCCAGTTTCATTTGTGTTGTGTGTTGTCTTCTCTTGTCGATAGCGTCTTTAGGAGTGGGTTTCTATGAGTTATGATTTTGTCGTGATGTCTGTTGCTTTTTTCGTTGGATTACGTCTTGTACGGAAGATATACCGAGATCGGTGTGGAGAGTTGCGTTGGAGACATACCATGGTGTGTCAACTATCATTCGTAGGATCTTAGATTGACTTCTTTGGATTATTGCTATGTTAGATTTGCTGGTGCAGCCCCATAATTCCAGGCCGTACGTCCAAATAGGCATGATTATAGTCTTATAGATCAGAATTTTATCTTCAACTGTTAGCTTTGATTTTTTGCCTATTAGCCAGTTTAATTGTTTAATGGTTAAGTCTGCTTGCTTTCATTTCTTGACTACATGCTGCTTCCATGTTAATTTGCTGTATAGTCATACCTAGGTATTCTATTTCTGCTTTGCGTGGTATAAAAACAAAAGCTAAACACAAATTTTGCACACTTACATATTCTACACCATTTCCCAACCCATGCAAACAAAACAATAGCAATAACGACAACAACAACATTTTAATAATTTTTCATGATTCATTCCCAGATAATATATCACACCTCACAAGTTCACATGGCCAACACTAGTAGTGATAATTATATGTAAATAAAATGTACAAAGGCTTCCTATGGAATAACATGCGCACAAGACTCCACAAAAATCTATCAGCTAGTTCAAAAATCATAGGGAAGACAGGTACATAACAAGATGTACTTCTATGAAAAAAGGGGAAATTAAAAGCTATATATTTCCTAAATTTAAAAAATTTCAAATTCTTCCTCTAGTGATTACAAAAGGTTTGACACTGCAATCCAGCAAAATGTGTGTTAACAATGTTTTGGAGAAATCCACCACCTTCATCTTCAAGGTACAAGAGAAAAGGCCCTTAAGTTGCAGACAGAAGGTTCCTCCAAAATGCTGGTAACATTCTGTCAGACTATACAGCATCACCACACCCCAGAAGATAGTAATCTTCACTTCTTAATTTTGTTCATTAGGTGTTATCATAAATACACGTATAGATCTCATGCTTGTTATCCTTATTTAGAACAGATACAAAGGCAGCGAAAATGTGATTAACCTCTACAGTGAAGTTATGGCCACTTACCTTCCTCAGGTCCTTCGCAAGTGCTTCAATCATCTCAGTTGTATTCTCCTCATACATCCGTAGCAACTGCTTGAGCTGCTTCTCTCGAAAATCAATGGACCTTGTGCGTCCAGCCTCAAAGGCATCTCGCGCTCTCTGCACAACCTAGACAAGACATGTATCACATATCTAGCAATCCAACATGCAAAATATGATCAATATCTGTGAAACACTTGTCACTCATATGCTGCAGAATTTCATGGCACTGTTTGTTTCTTCTTGCAAATAAAGAATCTGATATGGCATATAAGGTTCTGGTAAGATCTGAAGGAAACGATGACTAGAAAACCTAGATATAGATGCAAGAATAATATCATGCATCTTAGAGAAACAGGATAAAGGGGTATGGACTGAAACAATATGGCTCAGGATATTTACCAAAGACAGGTTCTTGTGAACACAGAAATGAATTTTCATGTCCTATAAAATGCTGAGAATTTCTTTAGTGACTGGAAAACCTTTGGTTTATTAAGAATGACTCAGCTCCATGGAATAGTTTGTATATCAGAAAAATGAAGCCTATCAAAACAATTTTTTCCTTACTGTTGGAGGGTGAGACTGGCGACTAATTTATTGTATTTAGAATGTTTGGGTGGGTGCAGACATGAACTGATTACAAATCTATACAAATACTATGCTTTAAAGAGACGCACAACTCTTCTTTACAGCTATTATGAACTTGTTTATTAGAAACTCAACTGTAACAAAAGGCAGGAAGTTTTATGAACATGACATCCAATTCAGTGTAAATTAATGCATAAAATCTAAATGTTACTTACATCAGAATGGCCCATTGTTCTTCCGTTCTCACAGGCACCTGAAACAAAGCACTGGAAATTTCATAGCAGTTCAACCTACCATGGCACCTCTTCAATGAAATTCCAGATTCAAAACAATATAACTTACATAAATAAATTTATTCGGCACTTACATAAAATAGCCCAAGAGACCTTTCCCGCAAAATACACTGTCTACAAAAAAATGTGAACACTGTCATGTATTAAAAACCTAAATAAACAGGAGTAGAAATCCCCAACATGCTGCAACCAATAACGTTATTATACCTAATAACTTCTACCATCCGGCAGAAACAGCAAAACCCTACCTATAAACGCCTCCCACTCGGTTATCTTCGAATTTTAGCCTGTCAGCGATCTGATATGGTGCGTTCGAAAATACGCTGTGGTTACTGAAATCCCACAATTGTTTATCCTTGCCGCCCCAGTCTCGCATGCACTTCTTGTAAATAATCTTTGGACTGGAACGAAATTCGCATACAGAAAAGTACTGTAATCATGTTAATAACATGTACCATACATTAAATACGTTGCTACTACGTAAAAAACGAAGGATCTCGAGAGGACTTATTCTATGGTCCGTTACTCGAAAGTGAATTAACACAGAATAAAAAACACAAAGTGATTAACATGCCTGTTCTCATTCTCGGATCCGTTCGTCTATCCACCAGTATGACAGTGTCGAAACGCTGTTGCTAATTTAATTCTGATCAGATTTAAAGTCAATGGGTGTATCTATCTATAAAGAAAACTGAAGGCCAACATTATTCATGAAAACAAGTTGTAGATCTTATCAGAGTTAACGGCTCTGTCCGAAGTCCAACTAATCAGCTCTCTCTGTTATCACCGGCAGATTCTAATACACATTAACGAAAACTATCTCCTTAATATACATTTTGTTTTCCGACCGTTACAAAATTATAGAGTGACGAATTGTTATTTGTATGTTTCAGTACAGGCATAAACGATGAAAATTTGTTCAACGTAAGAAACGCCTACACGAATATTTTAAATGAGCTCGTTTCTTATTTTTCTCAATCTCGTAGCTGATTGTATGTGTGTACGTGTGTACATGTTGTGATACTGACGAGGAGTTCGTTTAGCCATTCTGACAATTTGTCTGCACTGCATACGCGTAATTGGAGTCAAGGTTTAGCCAAGCCAATTAAAGAAGCACCAAGGATTTTCTTTCTCTTTACATTTTCATAAAACGTGTATCGAGTCTGAAAGTCTTGCCTCTAAAGTAGAATCTAGAATGGCAGAGTAAAGGCCAATTTAAACTGCTCAGTTTCTGTTTCGGAGGAACATACTGCCTCCATCCTCAGAGTCAAAGAGTAAGCCAAGCACCAAACCAGTAGCAATTAGTAGACCTCTTATTTTCTGCTTGCTTCTTCCTTGAAGGATCTGCTCTATGCTTCTTTCTTGCTGGTTGTTTCCTTGGCTTACTGTTCGAGCCTGAAAATGAAAGCAGTTCGTTCCGCCGAAACGTCAGTGAACTTCTACCGGACTACACGGCATCACATCCCAGAAGATAATGCTCCTTTGAGATCACGTAAGTCAGCAATCTTATGCAAAACTTATTTAATGTAACTAACTACAGAGTAAGTGGAGCTTGGTTAACTCTGTCAGTATAGGGACTACGCTACTACCCGGAACGTCGAAAAACTGGGGTTCGATTCCCAGTAGGGGTAAAAAATTTCTCTCTTCTTCGTAAGGTCCAGACAGACTCTAGGGGACCCTCCCAGCCTCCAATACAGTGAGTTCCGAGGGCAATTTCCCCGGAGTAAAGTAAAAGCCACCGAAGTGACAACGCATATCCGTCCAGCACGAAGGTTACGAATGGTGGAAATATACCTCCGTTCCCATACGTCTTCATGGCATGATGCTTAATTAATTAAGCCCAGGGTTAATTTTACCTTAACCTTTTCTATAGACCAAGCACCCTTCACGAGAGTACTGTCTTCTGGGATATAACGCCGTGTAATCTGATAGAAGCCCACCGCCTTCTAGGAGGAATGCACTTCCTCCATCTTCAGGGTGGAAGAGTAAGCCAAACAAGAAGCAGGCGGCAAGCTGTGCTTGGCGTTATTCGACGTCTGCGTCGGTGGGCTTCTACCGGACTGCATGGCATCACACTCCACGAAACAGGACTCTTCCTACAGACTGCTGTGAGAACCTCGCTCAGATCCAGCCCAACCTTCGTTAAGTTCACACATTTGCTGCATTGGTATTCTGAACACACGAAAATCGTTTCCTAGCAGAACCGCCATTCTAGATTTGTTCATGAAACCGCGAGATAAGATAACTGACAGTACAAATGAAATTTCAGAAATCGGAAATACAAAGACCATCCCCTTAAATTTGACGCACCACTTCATGGAGGTAAATGGGAGAGTGGAGACACAGCTCCATGCATTCTTAGCTTCAACACTAGATGAAGATGAATGGTCAGTTTCACGCCCTTGACGATTTATCACCCGGGGAAGTGCCCCCTCTATCAATTAAACAGGAGGTCTGGAGGACCGAAGAGCCGGTCTGGATGCTGTGGAAGAATCAAATGTCTCTGCCCCGGCCGGGAATCAAACCCCGATTCTCTGGCTGCCCACCCCATAGCCTAGTTACAGTACTAACTTAGCTATTCTGGCTCCGACAAAATATATGCATTTGAACACTGATGTATAGTAAAAGAAGAGGAAGATTTGGATAGGTTTCCAAACAACGGATGGTAACGAATACGACCTGCAGATGGACAGAGGCTTCAGGATCTAAGGCTATTTACGTCTGTCAATAAATAATCCGTTAACCCTTGAAGCACAGTGGATACTCTATGTACTATCTGCTTTAGCATTGGATATCTCTGTAGTTTGCCCTCAGAGTGCATCTGTGTGTTTCATATGATTCTCACAATAAACAGCGACTGTTTCTGCAATAACGGACCGGTCTTTATAACAGAAATCAACGTGTTCCCTCTGAAGTAAAAATTATTTCGAAGAAATTCGTTCTTCAAAGGGTTAATATAATCTTAAGCAAGAAATTAAACTAGTGGACGAAACAAGGTTTGAAAACAACAAATGTAAATGAACGTGCTTGGACGTCACCGCGGCATGGCGCGTCCTCAGGCTGTGAATGGAGGAGAGGGCCTCCAGACATGGAGGTTAGCTGTGAATATATTAAATAAACAGTCGAGGACAGCAAATAAGGGATGGTCCGCCAGCTTGGTGGTTGGATATGCGGCTAACAACTCACCCCAAAATAAAATGTTACGAAATATTATAGAGGACCTCATACTTCGATGGATATTTTGAATAAACGACCTAAGCTAAACAGGATGGATTGGTATGGATTGGATTGATCTGTCTTACGATAGGGACCAGCGGAGGACTTTTATGAGCATGGTAATGAAACTTCGGGCGCCATAAAATATCGTGAAGTTCTTGAGTGGATGAGCAACTGACTGCTTCTCAGGGTCTCAGCTCCATGGAGTTAGTTATGCTTGCTGAAAGATGAAACTGACCGCTCGCTTTCAGCTGGTGCAGGAGTTAAGGATNATACTTTTTCTTCTACCCTGAAGATGGGGGCGATACGTTCCTCCGAAACGTCGGTTAACACGACATATACACGGTACCAAATCCCAGAAGACTGCTTTCTTCATAGTCACCGCCGTGAAAGCCTCACATCTTAAACATATTACATTGATTACGAATCTAAAAAGAAACAGTAAGAAATGCTGATAACTTAGGATAGGTAACCAACACGAGGTATGATTTTCACAGAATGCCATAAGTTGAGAAGGTGACAAGCATTATCATTAATTTGGAAATGTGGGCAAACGCACAGCGAAACCATTCTGCCCACATTCGCTCAATCTTAACTATCTCGAGGTCCTACAGATTTACAGAACTAATGTACTGGGTATGAAATCTGTTTCATTTACTCTAGAAAATTTGTTCCCAACTTCACACCGATAAATATTTTTTTTTGGCATTACAGCCCCCGTGGGCCTAAGCCTACCTCCATTAACTTCTCCGTTCACCCGATAAATATTTAGCGAGTTATAATCGGTGTGCAGACATATGACTTTCAATGTTGTAGTGTTCTGAAAGTCAAAGGACGTTTTGCAACAATATGGAGGCGACATGTTCCTCCCAAAAATCAGTTGGATTTTCGACGGACTACACGGCGTTGTATCCCACTAAACATAACTCAAGACACTGAAATTATTTAAGCATCATACGTATTATATATTGATCAAAGAAGCCTGAACGAATCCCACGCGGTCATTTGTGTTAAATAAATATGTAAAATAAACGTGGGTCTATACATCCACTCCCCTATACGCCTTCATTGTATAGTGCTTACTTGGTTAAGTACAGGGACAACTTTACCTTTTTACCTCTAAATATGTAAAACAAAAAAAACAAAAAAACTAACCTAAATAAGCCAGTCTTGTTTTACCCATGGATGATCGAATTTTTATAAGGTTCGACTTCCAGAGTCTTGGTTATGTAAACAGATTGAAGACAAGGCCGTCAATAAGTAGAAGTTTCCCAAAACAAGTTCTACCTCTCATGTCCCCTCTCACCTCCCATTACGGACTACTCGTATATGTTCGTCTTCCTAATAATACAGCAACTCTATGAAAAATTAGTAGAGGTCATGGCTGAGGTCATGCCCCAGTTTTGCTTGCGTCGCCGTTCAGTGGATTAATGTGAAGGAATTAATTTGTTTTATTCTGCAGAGATCAGGCGTAGAGTCCTAAAAACTTGTCAGGGCGGCCTAGCAGGCAGTTCCAGGTTGAAAAAAAAATGGACGTGACCTGTTCTCGTTGTTTACATAATGATATATTTGCATTTTTAAATATTGAATTTTATGATAAACGGCTCACGGGGTGAACATGCTTATAAAGAGGCTTGCCTCTGAACAGACTTGTCTAGCGGCAACAGTCCAGACTTCTATTTGGGAGGTGTTTGGTTCGGATCACACCCGGGACACAACAATATCCTGAATTACCAAATTCTTG